ACAACGTCGTTGCCAAACGACGAAAACCCAATCCCGATGGCAAACACCGCGGGCGGCGGCTTGTTTTACAAGGTCGTTGCCAAGCGACGAAAACCCAACCCCGATGGCAAACACCGGGGGGAAACACCGGGGGGGGGAGGGGCAAAATTGGTGAACCAGTGTCCGTTCTTTGCGCCAATGAAAAAATGCTTCGTAGGGGTTAGAGAGTAGTCGTCCGAATCTTGGCTCCTGCTTTCATGTCACTCGCGTCGGCATCGATGTGCGTGCAACATAGTGGGCGATTGGCGGGGCTCGGAGGAGGCGTGTAAGACCGAGCTGGATGGTAGAAAGCTACCGGCCCAGGAATCCTACTCGGAGGCCCAACCAGCATACAACACCATGGCACACGCACGCGTTAGTTTCTCTGAGATGCTCTCTGAGGGTGCCGCAGCGCGAGATATTGACGATAAACAGCAGTGCTAGGAATTCCTCCCGTTGCGCACACGCATTTTTAACATGAACGATGAAAAACAGTGCTGGGGATACCTCCCGCTCCGCCCCGCCCACCGGTACTTGGCATCAGCCATGACGTTGGGGTGAACCACAAGATAGGCGTCGTGGGTGGTGAGGGCGTCGGATGCTTCGAGGAAGCTAAAGATGTGTTCTTCGACTGTGACCCCCACGTGAGTCGGCAACGGGAACCGGTGTTGTACGATACATGAGTACTGTACACACATGATAATACATGAAGTATGTAGTTACGAATTTCGTAGGGACGGTGAAGCGAATTCTGGCTAAAGCAGTTCGGCAGGCGAGCTGCGGCTGTCTTTGTCAAAATTTTAGTTGCCGCGACGGGTCGCCCGAAGGCGCAGCGGCTTCCTGAGTCAATCTGTCCGTTCTTCATTCCTAGACAACGAGCTGACTTCATCAGCGTTTTCCATCGGGTCCTCTCAGTACGGCTAGAGCCAAAAGATGGAGCGAACAAGCAAAAACAACTGTAATGGGTTCTTCTCGAAACACATGCTTCTGCGTATGACGAAATCCTCCAGATTGCCATCTCACACGAAACCTATTCCGCCACTCCTGGGAAAAAATCGGGGGAGAGAATCGAGGAAAAAATCACAGTACTACTCCAGGCCAAGCCCGGAACGACAGTGCAAGTCGACACGCCGTGTCTCACACCTCCATATAGCTATCCGGAAGTCAGTTCGCCTCATCGGAACAAGCGCGGGCCGCATCACAGTGTAAAGCGCAATAGAGGTGAGGAGGAGGATCACGATGGACGACGGCAGGGTGCATCATCGATTTTTGCTGCAAGGCCGTGGAGTCGCACCACAACCGTAAACCCAATTTGCCGGCGTAATTTCACTCGCACGTCGAGCCCTTATCGAGTAACAGTACATGTAGGCAGTTTCACAACGCTCAGTTCTCGAACAATTCAACCCATAGACTAGACTAGTCCAAATGATATTCGAACAATTCAACACATAGACTAGACTAGTCCAAATAATATTTGGCCGCTCCTCCTGCATGCAGATTTTTTCTGCTCGACATGTCGCAATCACATCGGGCGTACAGATCCGGATATCTTGCATTTCTTGAACGTTTCGATCTGGTCATGCACCTTGTGGCTAGACTAGCGGAAAACCTTGGTGGAAGTCAGCGGCGATGCGCAGTTAGAGGACTGCAGGTAAGCCAATGACATCATGTGTTGACGGCTCTACAGTACACGGGATCAGTGCTTCACCAGCTGATAGCGACAGCAGTGAGTGCTTTGACTGCTCTACAAGTTGAAGTAGACTGTAGAGCTCACTTCCCATTTCCTGCCACACGCTGAATACAACCTCCAAGATTCGGCATCATCATAACGCTGGAGACCGACGTGTCGGTGACGCACGGTCGGCTCATTGCCAGAGGGCGTAAATTCAGAGTCAGGGGTCCTGCGGTACTTGACTCATACCGTTTGAACATCCTCGGCACGGGGTGACCATAAACGAGTCCAGTGTCTTGCCAACACCTCTACCGTGCCTGTTTGTGCGTTTGGCAAGCACATCGTGTCCCCTTACGAGCAAACTATACAAGTCGTCCGTCCAAATCCGTTGTGTGAGATGTCCTTCCAAATCCGTTGACATGTGTGAGACGGCAAGTGAAGCCCTCCAGAAGCAACTGCTTCAAAAGTAGTTGGAGCATTCTACGCAAGATGGATTGTGTGTTTGGCAAGCACAACGTGTCCCCTTTCGAGCAAACCATGGTCGTCCGTCCAAACCCGTTGAAGTGAGATGCCCGTCCAAATCCATTGACATGTGTGAGACGAAAAGTCAAGCCCTCCAGAGCAACTGCTTCCAAAGTACTTGGTAGCTTTTTAGGCAAGATCGATGGCTAAACATGTATAACTGTCAGCCAAGCCCTGTCTGGTGCTTTTATGCGTTGAACAACCCTCCACACTCCTTCAAAGATGAATATGGCCGCGCGAGACCACAAATGAAAACACCTTATTGGCAACACGTGCAGTCAAAGTACGGCGAACGCATCGATACTGTAGCTGCTTGTGAAAAACAACAAAGGATGGACCACATGCGTGTCAATGCAAGGGGGATCAAGTACGCGGGTGCTTGACACTCGCCTTTGGCAACATTGGTACCCTGCAACACACCCGCCTCCCAGATGGAGGATCTCACGAGGGGAGCAAGCACACAACGATGAGCCCACCTTTAAGAATCAATGCGACGGAGGAATGGACGACGTCAATTCACTCAACCACTACAGCAGAAATCATTTCACTCAAAATTGGACAAAGCGCCAATGATGTGCCCAAATATGGCGCACGACGCTGAAAGGGGTGTGGGCGCACGCCAAAACAGTCCGACCTCTCGAGAAGACAGATTGCGTGCCATGCTAACAAAAATATCGGCCGCGAAAAGAAACGATTTCGGCAGATGCACAACACTCCGAGCACTCCGAACACAAGGCATGCGGTGCACATGGAACAAGGATCGACATCAACTCAGCGAGGCCTCCATAAGGCAACGCGTGAGTCTACGTGGAACGAACGCACAATAACACAACCGAGCATGTCAAGGAAGTCAGCGTCAATCTCTACGCCTCTTCAAGGGCGGGTGGAATCCCACCGCCAAAAGCGACATTCGAACAACCTACAGCACCGCTGCACGCCAGCCACAAGGTCAGGGCACCTTAAATGTAACACTCACTTGGATTGCGGCCGTGCTTCTGGCACTCTCGTGCCAGCGTTTCTCTATTGCGGCAATATCGAAACAAGAAACAAGCAAGAGGTATCAACAAGAACACCAACAACGGCAATGACAACGACAACGACAACGACAACGGATTAATCGAGAACCTACCGCCACCCTCGCCATCAGCACTATCCCCGTAGTCTTCGTTGGCCAATAAAAGGGTGGGGGGTAACACGCTCCCGTTGTCGACGAGCACCAGCAAGTCCCAAAGCATCTTCCCTTCCATAAGCTTCACGGGCTCATCGAAGTGGATTGGGTTGGCACTGCGGTAACAGGACAAGTTCCCATACAAGCCCACGCTATCGTCCACAAGAAACAATCCTCTTTCACCGTCATCGCCCTTAGACCCTTCGCTTGCTTCCCACTCGCCAACGGCCTGCCTCTGTATTCTATGCAGGTCTTCCTGAAACGCATTTTCCACAGAGCCGGGGGGATATCTGTTGTTCTGCATAAGAAAGAGCAGCGGCTGCAAAGGGCCTGATGCGGCCGGCGGGGCTGATGCGTCCAGCGCGTCTTCCTTTCCAGCCCCAACCGAACCACCTCTGACATTGTTTGGTGGGATACCTGCCGCCTGTTTCTGTGATGTCTCGTGTCGCCCAACCTGCGTTGACACGTTCGGCAGCTGGTGCTGCGCATCCCCCGGCGATTGCTCTTCCTCCACTGGTGGCGCTGCGGTCCCGGGTACCGCCGTTGCTGCAGCTGTTCTGACCAGCTGAGTGGTAGCGTCCCGGCAAGCACCAAGCGCGGCGGCCCTCATGCCGTCCTTCTCAACGATATCTTGAGGAAGGGTGCTCTGGTACGAGGGGCTTCCATGCCCGTTGGCGGCATGCTGCAGCTCAAACGCGTCGTGGACGCCGAACGCTGTGATGATCACCGCGCGCTTGCCGTCTTTCGCAGCGAGGACCGCGTCCATGACGGTTGTTAGCATCGCGCCGACGCTCTCGGGACCCGAGCACAACGGTGCCCAGTAGAAGTGTACCTTCGCGTTTGGGAGTGAGGGGGAGTTTCACGGATGAGCTGACTTTTCACGATTATGGCTCAATCCTTGCTGACAACGTTTTTCCTCGTCTCAACGCCCCCAAAAGGTTCCACCTACAAAGTAAGATGGCCCGAAGAGTCAAGTGGTAAACCTTGCATCGAGGAGTGCACCGGAGACTGAAGCGTACTACAGCTCGGCGATGAATAACTTGACGAAAGAGGTGCCCCGAACTTAACTTCTGTCGACACGAGAAAATGGTCAAGCACTCCATACCCTTCCCCAGAACAAAAAAAAACTCGTCACTATCTCCTTCATTTTTCTTCTGCCCGTGCAGACGGCTAGGACTGTGTCACGCAAGGGGTATTGTCTGCCGTGCCTGCCCTCGCCTTAATGCGAGAACACAGCAAAGATTTTCTCCCCCAAGGATATGTGTCAAGAAGGAGTGGGTTGCCTTCCGCATTGCAACAGGCTTGCGTCTAGGTCCACCAGCCTACATCACTGTAACTCGTGATTCAGACCGTAGATCAAGGAAACACGCAGGACCAGCTTGAGGAAACACACGGACCAGTTTGAGGGGTCAATCTCTTGGCGACACAATCAAACCCCCTCATGTTCGTAGCGGCATTCGAGTGCCGGGATAGCTGTGAACATGTGATCGTTCTAGATAGGGGTGCTAATTCTCACCTTAAGGTTCCCTGAAGAAAAGTTTATGTCCCTCTGGACGACTGGGTGGGTCGATCCTCGCCCCGTGAAAATCGACACAAAACTCTCCCCGAGTCTACGGCTGGTGCTGTCACCTATAAAATGAAACGAATACTTGGAGGCAATATCCTCCATAGCCTCCTTCCCCAAGCGCTCCTGCGACACACAAGGTCCAGCCAACAAGCGCCAAGAGGATGGAGTTCGCAAAAGAGGGATGAGTAGGGTCTCTTTCCAGGGGCAGCATACGAGCGAGAATTTAAGACGTGAAGAACAAAAGCAGCAATTGCCGATGCCGACGCTTGCCACCTTTCGATTCTGATTCTGACAAACAATCTCCAAATGGGCGTCAAACCTTCCCACGAGCGCCTACAAGAGGCGGGGTATACTCGTATTGAGATCGCGACTTCCCGCGGCCAACGCACTGTTCCCGAACATCGCACGGCATGTGGGGATGGGGTTGCCCAACTCAAGAGAGGAGGTCGACTCGAAGAAAGAACACCACAGTGGAATCTTTCGAGAGGCGTTCCGGGTCGTGAGGAAAAGCAGGGTGTCGCCGGGGTCCGTGAATTGGGGACGTCGCCGTATTTATCTGAGATAATTCAGGCGGCGTGTGCCACCAGAAAGGACAAATTCAATACAAAGGCGGTACTGGACCAAGCAACTAAAAAACGTCAGGGGAGGGCGTCCCATGGGCGGTAACACGTGGCCAAATACACGGCGTCCAATGTCAATCGGACGCTCCATTGCTGTAGACTGGTTCCTGGGCGTGTACAGAGAAGAACTTTGACATGGACGAGACTTTTCGTGAACCGCCCCAAATCAGACGTGGCACATCACCACGCTACAGGCTTTTTTCCCGTTGACCAAATGCCTCCCTTAGCCACCCGCTAGGCCAAAAAATGCTGTTGGTTCATCAGAGGAGGTCTTCAAACGTTTAGGCAAGTAGATAAACACAAATATGGAAGGCCACAAAAAACACGTAGCGATGGGCGGTGGTTCGAGCGCTCATTGGTGCCTCTAACCTGTGCAGATCGATGCAAGGAAAAGGACCACCGCATGTTGAGCCAGTGGGTGAAAATCTTTATACAATGCGGGGTGATGACAAACTGCAAGATTTCTACCTCGAGGCACCATTAAACGTTACCCTTTTAAGTTCTTGGCGCAACTGGACCCATCTCCCACACTACTGGCAGTTTTGCTAAACCACGCATGGGACACCCGTGGCTCACCCTTGGGCCGCCCATGGGTGGCCCATGAAGTTCCCATCAAGTGCCCACCGTGGACAATTCTACCCTAAACTTCGCCACCGGCATATCAACCTGGAGCTTAGCCACCAGCGCCAACCTAGCACGTATCGTGTGTACCTCGCAAGTGTGGTGTGGCCTGGGGGGTTAGCATTAGGGTTTAAGCGCGATAACGACCGTTCCAAAGCAGATAATCTCTTGTTTAGGAGTACACTGGTTCCGTTTGAAGGGCTCCCATTGGCCGCCCATGAGCTGCACACGGGCTACCCATGGGCAATGCCCCTTGTCAATCATGGGTCAACCATGGGGCAAAAAAGTGCACATGGGCGTTTTATCAAAACTGTAGAAAGTCTAGGAGTTTTTCGCCCCGTTGGGAGGCCATGAACGCCTAGATGGGAAATTCACCAGGGGATCGTTTCTAGATTTCTTCGCCGATCCCGTCACTTGTCAAGAAGATAGGAATAAGTGACACGGAGCTTTTTGCCACGCCTCTACAGAGCTTCAGCCCCTACAGGGGTCTTACAGGGCATGCCAACCCCGAAAACGACCCGACTTGGCAATCATACAAAATGTTCGCTGTAAGGTTTAAGCTTGCACGGAACTCGAGCATTGTTAGGTGTTTCAGTGAAAGCATCTGAGCGCCCTCTATCAACCTGTATTGGAGCAAACGCGTGAGAGGCGATGTCTGCGGTTCTAGGAATATACTTCACAACTTCACAAGGAATAGAAAAGGGAAAACGACACAACAGGGTATACCCTGGTCGAAAAGCGACACACCTGGGTACAGTCATTAATACATGCACTCATTTGATTGGTCAGCGCCCAATTTCACCCCGGTGCGTCCGAAAAGGGGCAGGGTATACCCTGCCGTGACCACTTGTCTCAAAAACTATACCCTGTTTTCGGAAATGTACCCTGACCTGTCGGGAAATCAGACCCTTTCATCAATCATTTCCCCCGCAGGAATCTTGCCAACGCCTTTTCCCTTTCAACCATGGGATACCAAACGGCGAATCTTCCCGCCCAATAACAACTATGGCATCGGGGCAGGAATCAGTTTCCGCCCCTGCGAAACAAGACCAACTATCAACTCTTCCGATCTAAATCAACAACGGCCGCCGGGCAATACCCCAGCGCAACTCTGTTCCGTTTGGAAACATGCACACACGGGTACGATACCCCGTGGACGACTGCTTGCTGCAGTGTATATGCGAGATGCGCGGGTCACGCAATGAAAGCGAGACCGATCCTGCATGGTTGACATGCGTTATATACGCATATATTTGCCAATGTGTCGCGCTGCGCTGAGCGGGGGGAGGGGAGAGGCAGCACCAGCACACACAGACACGCCATTGACATCAATCATGGAAGGAGGAGCGAGCGGCAGCGCAGGAGCGGCGTCCAACTCAATCACCCTCCCTGTCGCTTGCCCGTGCTCGCGGTGTTATTATTCGTCGGCTCATCCGCTGAAGAAGCCTGACGTCTTCTAACTACATTGATTGATTGATCGGGCGGCTTGGTTGGCTAGTAAGAGCGACCGCTGCTGCTACAGCAGCAGTCAAGCAACAACCACATCGCAATTGAGACACAACAGACAACACACACACGCACACACGGCACAGGCAGGAGGGAGTGGCGGCGCACAACGTTACGCGTGTAGTGTTGTGTGCGCATCCTATCCTCCAAGAAGCACACACAGCCAACATCAGATCACTACATGGACTGTTGATGACCTCGTGAGACCATGTTCTACGCAATTGTTTTGCGGGCCCTTGTTTTGATGATGCAGTAGGTGTTAGCGTTGTTGTGTTCGCAAAACCCACGCACTCGGGGCTCAAGCCTCACTCAACTCCACCATAACAATCCTGTATCATATCTATGTTATCATGTGTTGCATCGGTTGAACCCAACCTACTGTTCTAAGGTACTGCTTCCGACAGGTGGACGTGCATGACATAGACAATATGTACACGTATCCACCGCTGTATGCACAGCAGACAGCCGTAACCCCCCCCCCCCAG